AGACTGTGGGGGAGAGGCCGTGGGGGGAGAGGCCGTGAGTGAGAGAGACCGTGGGGGAGAGGCCGGGGAGAGTCCGTGGGGGAGAGACTGTGGGTGGAGAGGCCGTGGGGGAGAGGCCATGGGAGGGAGGAGACCGTGGGGGAGAGACGTGGGGGAGAGACCGTGGGAGGGAGGAACCGTGGGGGAGAAACCGTGGGAGGGAGACCGTGGGGAGAGAGAGACCGTGGGGGAGACCGTGGGGGAGGAAGACTTGTGGGGAGAGGACCGTGGGGAGAGGACGTGGGGAGAGAGAGACCGTGTGGGAGGAGAAGTGGGAGAAGAGACCGTGGTGAGTAGAGACGTGGGTGAGAGATTTGATAACCGAGAGAGAGAGATCGTGGGAGGCCTTGGGGAGGCCGTGGGAGATTGTGAGTTGGAGATCGTGCGTGGGAGATCGTGAGTGGAGATCGTGAGTGGGAGATCGTGAGTGGGAGATCGTCAGAGGGAGATCGTGAGTGGGAGATTGTGAGTGGGAGGATTGTGAGTGGGAGATTGTGAGTGGGAAGATTGTGAGTGGGAGATGTGAGAGGGAGATTGTGAGATGGAGATTGTGAGATGGAGATTGTGAGATGGAGATTGTGAGATGGAGATCGTGAACAGGAGATATTTAGTTAGAGAGACCATGAGATATTTCTTGCGCCGATGTTAGACTTGCAGGCCGTCCATGCCTACGATCCATCGTGGGTTTAACCTGCAGGCTGAGTCGCAGTGTGAGGGAGCTCACAAATCCTTGAAAGATCTGTACAGGGTCCTTATCAATCTTGATTTGAAGCTTTCTTGACTGCAGAATCCATACTCTTTGGTTCTATCGGTAAAACTCACGTAGGTAGACAAAATAATAGATCACGACGTTTCGATCGCAACGCAATGCGACCGTCATCAGGTGAGAGGGATATCGTGAGAGGGAGACTGGGTCGTGACGTCACGTCTCTTTCCAACCCACCAGGTTTATTTTGAACAGTGAGAGACAGAATAACAACAACAAAATCCAGAAAAACGCATGTCAAAATTGTATAAATTGATTTGCATTTTAATGAGGGACGTTTCTTGTAGTTGGCCACCAGGTTTGCACACATCTGAGGAGGGATTTTGTCCCACTCGTCTTTGCAGATCTTCTCCAAGTCATTAAGGTTTCGAGGCTGACGTTTGGAAACTCGAACCTTCAGCTCCCTCCACAGATTTCTATGGGATTAAGGTCTGGAGACTGGCTAGGCCACTCCAGGACCTTAATGTGCTTCTTCTTGAGCCACTCCTTTATTGCCTTGGCCGTGTGTTTTGGGTCATTGTCATGCTGGAATACCCATCCACGACCCATTTTCAATGCCCTGGCTGAGGGAAGGAGGTTCTCACCCAAGATTTGACGGTTCATCGTCCCTTTGATGCGGTGAAGTTGTCCTGTCCCCTTAGAAAAACACCCCCAAAGCATAATGATTTCACCTCCATGTTTGACGGTGGGGATGGTGTTCTTGGGGTCATAGGCAGCATTCCGCCTCTTCCAAACACGGCAAGTTGAGTTGATGCCAAAGAGCTCCATTTTGGTCTCATCTGACCACAACACTTTCACCCAGTTATCCTCTGCATCATTCAGATGTTCATTGGCAAACTTCAGACGGGCATGTATATGTGCTTTTTTGAGCAGGGGGACCTTGCGGGGCGCTGCAGGATTTCAGTCCTTCACAGTGTAGTGTGTTACCAACTGTTTTCTTGGTGACTATGGTCCCAGCTGCCTTGAGATCATTGACAAGATCCTCCCGTGTAGTTCTGGGCTGATTCCTCACCGTTCTCATGATCATTGCAACTCTACGAGGTGAGATCTTGCATGGAGCCCCAGACCGAGGGAGATTGACAGTTCTTTTGTGTTTCTTCCATTTGCGAATAATCGCACCAACTGTTGTCACCTCACCAAGCTGCTTGGCGATGGTCTTGTAGCCCATTCCAGCCTTGTGTAGGTCTACAATCTTGTCCCTGACATCCTTGGAGAGCTCTTTGGTCTTGGCCATGGTGGAGAATTTGGAATCTGATTGATTGCTTCTGTGAACAAATGTCTTTTATACAGGGAACAAGCTGAGATTAGGATCACTCCCTTTAAGAGTGTGCTCCTAATCTCAGCTCGTTACCTGTGTAATAAAAGGACTCGAACACTTCTTTCTGTCTTCGTGTCTTTATTCAGGTTCACGTCTTTACCCACACGGCACTCTGTTATAACTCCTGTATTTGTAGCCCCCGGCTATTCACTGCTATTATAGCTTCCTCACCCCTCTGACTCTCTGCTTCATCTACTGTAACCTCCTCCCTGCAGACTTGCTGCTACCCCTATGTGCAGACCCTCTGGCTGTCACTGTATGCAGACCCGCTGCCCACTCTCTCTGTGCAGCCCCGCTGCTGACTGCAGCCTCCTTGCTGCTTCGGGTCGGTCACCGCTGGCCAACGGTGCCGATCCTCGCTTCCCCCGTGTTCGTGGCGATCTCGCCACACCCCGCTTCGCCCTACGTGGCCTTCCTCTGTTCCTGGCTCCCAGTCACTCCCCCTGCTCTTCCGGTTCCCCTCCTTCTATACTCAACCCCTCTCCCCCCCACGTGACCTAACTCCTCCCCCCCTGACGGCACCTCAGAAGGGCCGTTTACAACCGCATTACACCTGTATAAAAGACAACTGGAAGCCAGAAATCTTTCTGATTGAGAGGGGGTCAAATACTTATTTTCCTCATTAAAATGCGAATCAATTTATAACATTTTTGACATGCATTTTTCTGAATTTTGTTGTTATTCTGTCTCTCACTGTTCAAATAAACTTACCATTAAAATTATAGACTGATCATTTCTTTGTCAGTGGGCAAACGTACAAAATCAGCATGGGGTCAAATACTTTTTTCCCTCACTGTATGTTGGCTGGGTCATGTAGCCCGCATGCCCATCCACTGCACGCCCAAGCAGTTTTTGTTTAGCCGTATAGAGGGGTGGCTAAACGGGCGTGGTACGGGCTGGAGATGAGATGGCGCTGATGCGGTACGGAGGATGAAGCTCGTTTTAACAGTTGTTCAGTATGGCCATGGGGAGTCAGCGATGTACAACGGCAAACACACGATACACACAAACAAACGATAGGAAGTGTAAAATACAACCAAAGGTAAGCAAGTTGCCAAATGGAAATTGTTTAAGTCCAATTTATCAAGATTGGGCAAGGCAGCAACAATAACAACAGAACAATAGCCAACCGCGCTAATAGGAGGTGCGGGGAAGGGCAACAAATTAAACACAACAACAAGCAGCAGTTCTAAAGAAATTAGTTAGTCAATCCAGGTGGTGATTTAAAAGTGCATCGTAGCTCCCAGTAGCTTCCTCATACCGGAGAGGAAGAGCGTTCCAGACGTCCGCCAGAAGCAGCAGCAGCATCTGAAAGCGCCACGCGACGCAGCGACGACCACTTTCTTTGTTCTACAGTTAGCAACCGGTGTCCGTGGTTTCTAGCTTCACGACTTGTTTGCGATACTTCACAGGGGTGGGGCGAGGGAGATTCATTTTCCTTCGTGTGCCTCACTCTTTGCCCCAGTGCTAGGACGGGAATGATGAACGAGGGAGGAGAGATCAAGATCTACTGCCCAATCTGCAACTGGGTGGTGATCAGCCTGCCCGCCCTGGAGGACCACATGAAGCGGCACAGGGGCCGGACCGAGTCGGTGCTGTACCAGTGCCCCCACTGCCCGTACAGCACGGACAAAGCGGCCACTCTGATCGGCCACCAGAGGAGCCACGCCGACGAGAAGCCCTACAAGTGCTGGGTGTGCGGTGAAGTTTTCGCGAATTCGGGAGACTTCTGCTCCCATCAGAGCGTGCACATGAAGCGGGTACGACGCAGGAAGTCGATCGTCCCACTGCCCGGAGATGTCTCACCGGAAGAGAGGATCCTCGCAGGCGAGAGGCCGTATGTGTGCACGGTGTGCGGCAAGGCGTTTGTGCGCTCGGACACCCTCGTCATCCACAATCGGGTCCACACGGGTGAGAAGCCGTACAAGTGCGCCACGTGCGGCAAGGCATTCAACCAGTCGACAGCGCTCCTCAACCACAAGAGGACCCACACGGGCGAGAAGCCCTACGGGTGCACGGTGTGCGGGAAGCGATTCGCCCAGTCGAGGGTTCTCGTCAAACATGAGAGGACCCACACGGGTGAGAAGCCCTACAAGTGCGCCACGTGCGGAAAGTCATTCGCCCAGTCGGGCACCCTGGGCATCCACAAGCGCACCCACACAGGCGAGAGACCGTACACGTGCGACGTGTGCAACAGATCGTTCACGCACTTGGGCAACCTCAAAGTACACAAGAAGACGCACGCGGGCGGGAGGGCGTTCACGTGCCCCATGCGCGGGAAGGCCTCCTCCGAGGCAAGGAGCCTCCGGGCATGCCGGAAGGCCCGCGCGGGCTCGAGCGAGTCAACGCCGCCGGCCCATCCCCCTCTCCTCCGCCGCCGCGCCCGCGGTAGGGCCAGGCTCCACGAGGGCGTGACTGCCACTGAGGAGATCGTAGCGAGCCTCGGGGGCGAGGGTCCCGCAGCGACCCCCTCTGCGACTCCTTTGGCGACCCCCTCAGCATCGCTAAAATCACAACACGGAGAGACCCTCAGCTTCGAGACGTGGCCAGGGGTGAAGGTGGAATGCAACGGTGAAGATCCTTCTGCCTCCCTACAGATCATGAAGCAGGAGCGCGAGACTTGGCCAGGGGTGAAAGTAGAACTTGGGGGGGAGGATTCTTCAGTTCTTCTTTCGATCGTGAAGCAGGAACAGGAAAAAAGCCCCGGTTGTCAGACACGGCTGGGGTTAAGTTGGCACACGGGAGACCGAGTCTCTGCTTTGGGAACAAAAGTTGAGGTCTACGTGGGAAGAGTCAAGGAGGAGGCTCCAAGCAAGCATGTCGAGTGAGAGTAAGTCGTCGACTGGGACCTTTGTTAATTTGGTGGTGTGGGTGGAGGAGAAGCTGATCGAGAAAGATCAATTTAGAAAAAATGCCGTGCATTACATCAGCCATTCGAAAGCACGAGCGCGTCTGCACGACTGTTATGGCACGCAATGTGGAGGCCATATTTTTTGCTCTGAGAACAGATACACGTGAAGTGAAAACTACGTAGACTCTTTGTTTTATTTTACCAGGTAAGGCCCACCACTGAGCCACGTAGCTCTTTTTAAATCCTTTATATTAAGTTCACTTGCTTGCTTGCGCGCTTACGACTGTGCAAATCTTTCGGTCGTTTTTTAACCCACTTCCCGTGATCCAATCGAGCTGACATTTTGCACACAGACTCGTTGTGCGTGACAATTTATTTTCGTGAATATTTTTTTCCAAAATTTTCCACTTTTTAGGGAAATTTTTTTTTCATATTTAATTTAAAATACCAATGTGATAAAAATTGAACTCTTACTCAAGAAAAACAGAAATGAATAATAAAATAAAACCGATGCCACGCATATAAAGGATTTATAGTGAAAAACTTAGTTTTTACGGGTTAATTTTTTAGAAGTGACTTGGCCATCACAAATGATACCTCAATGAAGCCGCCTACCATCACGTGGACACTTATAGCAGCAGCCAGTTACTCTCTAAACGCCTGGTGATGTTGATTCTAAATGCATAAGTTCCAATCGTGACAGGGAGTGCAGCAAATGCTGCTCAAAACGTGAACGGATAACATGGCGGTGGTGACGCACACCCGGACACAAGGTCTCGACTTCAAAGGCCCACAGCTGCTGCTTTGTGATAGCAAAATCAAAAGGTGTCCTGACCAATGACGAGCCAAGGAGCGGAATCAAAATAATTCTGGTGCTTTGTGAGAAGACAGAGCCGAAGAAGAAAAATGTAGGATATAAGCGAAACGCTAAACCACAGAAGTCTGTTCTGCCAGAGGCGGGCTCCGGGACTTGTCCTCGTGACTGGCAATAATATTGAGCTCTAGACCGGTAGACTCCATGCATCACAGGGAGTTTTTTTTTTTAATCTTATTTTCATACGTGTCATTGGGTGAGCCACTTCCAAGCAAAGGCTTGCACTCGCAGCATTGCGATACAAGACGTGTGGGAGAGAACTGTGAACAAGACTTTCTACAGCCTACACACACGACCATAGTGTGAGGATTATTCCTATCGTGCTCCGATCAAAGTCAACATCTTTGAAGGAAGACCTGAGGCCACCACTACTCGTGAGTGTGCCCAGTACTTAGTCAACCCACAGGCGAAGGATAGTGAGGGTCGAACCAGAGACTGACACGGAACGATATAACCTGATCTGGAGCGTGTCCACTGAGCAGAGAACGAGACGTACAGACAACTGCTGGATGACTCTCGGAAAGAGGGGGGAAGACATGACGGGCGCTGTCTCTCCCAGCCGTTCCTCACTCTGCAAGGGTCAACCGTGTCTGGTGCCAAGGGGGGTGACGCACTGCCGCCGGCGGACGAGCTGCAAGCGATATCTGGCGACGTGACCATCGCGCACATGACTGTAGACGGAGCCAGACCCATCGATCTCTGCCAGCACGGGCACCGCAGTCAGCGTGAGCAGCATGCCGACTCGACAACCACTGCAGCGGTGGACGCAGAGCCTGGCTGGATGCAGCCGAGTAAAATCACATGCCGTGTGCCGACATACACCCACCAACCCAACGCATCCTGCTGGGGACCTGAGGTGTTTTCGTTTCAAGGAAAGACCGCTATCAAGCCGATCACCGCCTCTGGACCCCAGAACCACCAATAGCAGAAATCGTACGTGAACATAGTCAAACCATACTACCCGCTATAATTATTGGACCTCTTGGTGACTGCCCTCCAACACACACACACACAATGCACATATCGGTACAAATAAGATTGTTCCGCGGGGTTTTGGTTTCGCATAAGGTTGCCATTCCAAGATGGTGTGTTACTGATTAACTGGTCGTGGAGAAGCATTGTTCTGTCCCTGAAGTTGCATGAATACGGTCGTTTAGCAGTATTTTAGTCATTTGTTTCTTTTCATCACGTAATCTTGGCAATTAATGCATTGATGTCATACGGGCCATTGATACACATCTATTAGCCAAATCTACACACTGGCATGTACGCTATTCTTTCTGGATATTTCTTTAATTGCATAAGCATACCAATTCATTGATGTCATACTAGCCATTGATAAGCGTCTATTAGCCAAATCTACGCATTGTCATGTACACTATTGTTTTGGGATATATTTTTCTAATTGCGTAATCGTGTCGTTAAATCCACCACCACCCGACACAGCCAACTAGTAAGGGTTGTCACGTAAACAACATGCCAATTTGTCACTAGAACAGCTTGCAAGTGTGTTGGAGAGCCAAGCCACAACATTTACAATCTGAGTACAACATTTTGCCAGTAATTACAACTAGTTTCATCAGGCGACAGCCATATTTATGGAGAAGTCCACCTTTTCATTCCTTATATAGATGCGTAGATGTGGTGACGAAACTTCTGCGCTCTTGAGTCAACGTATATTATGCTTGCACATTATGCTGGCCCATTGATCTTGTCCTTCCTGTCCATTGTGTGTATTAAAATAGCCGTACCAACGGTAATCCCTATTGAAGTATGGTGGCCTGTATAGGCATGCATTTAAACAATGTATTTGATGATTCGCTTTCACACAGCACTAAGTCGGTAGCTATCCGAACGGTTAAAATTATTTTTATTTCTTTAAATATCGATGGATTATCTAATTAGTCTTGGCCAGTAGTAGCTAGTTTTGCACAGAACATGATAAAAAATAAATTGAGTGTCCTTGTTGGCACGCGTGTTCTGCTACTGCTGACAGTTGTATTTGGGAGTATTTAATATTTATTTCGTGTTCTTTTAGTCTCGTGCTGATCATTCGCCCTAATTGCCCAACATAGCATTTGCCACAAGTGCAGTTAATCCGATACTCACCTTCTGTTGATAGCTTCGGTAATACCTCTTTTGTACCAGATATTAATTTCTGTATTTTATGTACCGTGCCAAATCTAATTCGAATGTTTTGTTTTTCCAAACATCTGGCTAGTTTATCAGTTACTCCCGCAATGTATGGTATTTTGATCGTTTTAATTACTTGGGAAGTTTCAATGCTCGTGTTATTTGATTTGATTGTGGCATTCAATGCCCTGTTGATTTGTGCATCATTGTAACCGTTCATTTGCAGCGCTTCCTTAACATGTTTAATTTCGCTTCTCAGACTATCACCATCTGATACTTTCTTATCCCGATGAATGAGCGTCTTGATGAGAGCAGATTTTTGTGTGGGGCGATGGTGTGACTGCATTCAGATAGGCGTCGGTGTGCTTTTTCTTTTGGCAAATGCTGTGTTATTTGATCATTTTGACCCCGTCCGAGCAGAATATCCAGAAATGGTAGAGTTCTGTCAGCTTCCACTTCCATGGTGTACTGGATGGATGGGTTTTGCGAGTTGAGATTTAGAAATTCGTTAAGTTTATCTTTGCCGCGTGGCCAGACCACCTTTGTGTCATCCACATCTAAACTAAACAGAGTGTTTTAGTGTGCTTGAAGCTATTGCTTTTGTTTCAAAATCTTCCATGTACAAATTCGCTATCACAGGAGATAAAGGAGAGCCCATTGCTGCCCCTAGCAAGAAATAGATGTTCTTTAGACAGTGTTCAGCTAGTCTTGGGATATATTTGGCTAAACCTATGTTCGTTACCAGAGTGTCGAGTAATTTAATTGACTCGTTTACCGGAACCCTCGTGAAAAGAGAAGTCGCATCAAAACTTACGAGGCTATAATTAGAGTTAAGCTTAATATGTTTAATTATATTTCCGAGATGTTCAGAGTTTGTGATGAACGAAGAGGTCCTACCGATGTTGGGCTGTATTTGTTTCCTTACGTATTGTGTTAATTTCTATTTGGCAGAGCCTATTGTACTATGGTTCTTAATGGGACATCAGGTTTGCGAATCTTTGGTAGCCCATAAAGTCATGATGGTTTTGATGCCCTTGGTTTGATCAGGAATTGCTCTTCCTTGTGTAGCCGGTATGGGCTTAATGTAAATGACCCACAAGTATAATTGTGAATGAATATAATAATGACCATGGATTAAGCCCATAGGGTCACGTGGGTGCACAGTAGGCCACGCCCACCAGTAGAGTAATTAATTCAGGGTACAGGACGCCTATTCAGATTCAGGTAGATGTCGTACAGACGCACGAATGCTCCTCAGAAGAACACTTTGAAATAAAGAGTTGCAGTCACACAATCCTATGGTGTCCCTTGGTGGTGGAGTCATCCAATTCTCAGGAGGGCAGATCACAACGCAGAGTATCCACTCATCGCCTCCGAACTCATCTACTATAATTGTTTTTTTTGTACTCATTAACCGGCCTGACCCCTCGTAATGAACACGGGAGGAGAGGGATAGGGCGGGCCGGTTACACTTGGTGCCGTGACTCTTTTCCTTATAAGCCATTGTCATTTGGCAGCCGAGGTTGTGTTGCAGAAAACCCTAGAGGAAACCTTCAAAAGGACTCATCAACTCGGGGACCCATGGGAGGTCAGGAGACCACCGACACATTGCACATAAGGAGGCTGATCAATAGGTTGGACAGGGTCTTGGAGCAGCAGGTACAAGTGTCTGGGATGGGACAACATCTGATGAGAGGAAACCTATTGCGATTACTCAAGGCGTGTGGTGTGTGCAATGAAGAAAACCACACAACACTACTGCACTGCAGTAGGGCCAACTTTTGTTTGTTGTGCTTTGCAGCTGGTCATTGGAAACAGGTTCGCCCCCTACAGAACAGACGGACAGCAGAGGGACCAGGCAATCGAATGTCTTCACATCAGCCGCCGTTAAACTAGATCACTCGCTTCGCAAAGAGGGTCTGTGTGGGTGTTAATAATTCCCTCTAACAGGTTGAAGTCGACGTACAACAATGGCATGCTGAGGTCCAAGGAGCATTGTCGAAGGACCACACACTAGTTATCCAGGGATCTCAGAGAACCCAAGACCTGTATACCAGGAGAGCTAGTTAACATTTCGCCACGGTGGAGTCAACTCTGCTAATTGCAGGTGCGGGGAAATGACAACAAACTAGACACACGACGCGTGCGAGTCGCACAAGTGCGGTGAAGACGTCGGCGGCGGCGAAACGTCGTACTCAGATTGTGATTGTGGATTTACTCTCCAACACACCGGTGTGCTGTACTAGTGTAGAGAAAGTGCATGTGTGGAGACAGTATGTGTGTGGAGACAGTATGTGTGTGGAGACGGTGCGGGTGCAAAGACAGTCCGTGGACTAGCGGTCACGATCGGGAATTACAGGGTTGATAAATAAGACGTCGAGTTGTCGCAAGGGGGAATCGCCATGGAAGTTCAGGAATGGGCCAGAGAGTTCAAGAAAGGGGGCGTGGCCAGGGGCGGAGTGAGTGATAAAAGGAGGCGACAAGCACGGTTCGGGCTGCCATGGGATCGGGGTCGTCTCCACGCCGTCGCTGTCTTCATGTCGGTGCGGTCTTCGCGTTGCCGCTGTCTTCGCGTCATCGTTATTTGCGTGTCATCCTTGTCCAAGTTATCTGCGTGAAGCGCCCTAATCAAAATAAAGAATGCCCTCTATACTTTGTGTCGTCCGAGAGTCATGAAACTAGTTTAGCGTCGGAAATGCACATCTTATACCGTCGGTATATATACTTACCTACAGTTGTGGGCACAGGCCCATAGGGGGTGCCACACTGAGCTGGGAAAGGTTAGAGAGAGCCGGACCGTTGAGGAGCCAGGGTCCCAGACACCAGGTGAGGGGTTGGGGGGTTCTTCCAGAGCCCCCTGGAAGGTTCCAGAGAGGGGGTGGTACCGGGGGCGGAGAGCCCCCGAGAGGTGTATAAAAGGGGCACCTCTGGGACAAGCTCGGGGCAGTGTTCCCATGGGTGGAAAAAACCCAATTTTTCCAGCGGCAGGCATCGGGTTTTTTCTTTAATACAATTAAACCCGATTTCGGGGAATTAAAACCTGGTTTAATGAATACGAAACTCTGATAGGCTTAGGCTTCTTCCTCATTGGTGCTGCTATCGTACTCGGGGCCGTCGAGCACGGGGTAGTCGTAGAATGCGAGCAGGTTGGTCTTGATGAACACGAGCTTCTCCACAATCGTTAGGCGCCAGTGAGTTCCTTAGCTTGGAATGGATGAAGCCCATTGTTGAGAAGTGCGGTTCTCCCAATCTCAGATGATCGGGTTTAATATAAAAAGACAATTAAACCCGATTGTAAAAAACCCGACTGTGGCACCCTTGAGTGTTCCGAAGACGAAGAACAGAAGAACAGTCTAGCTAGTACCCTGGGACCCTGGGACCCGACGTCCTTGTAAGGGCTGGTGCCGAGCGCGGACCAGTGGTCAGGACCCGTACCTTGGCTGGGTCGGGTCAGTTAGCCTCCCCTAGGGCACAGATAGCCGGAGGGCTGAGAGCCAGGATTACTGAGTGTGAGGGCACGTTAGCCCGGAGGCTGTACCTCCCTAGAGAGTGGGAGTTAGGGGAGTTATGTTGTAGTTTACAAATAAACCGTGTTGCCTCGAAAGACGTCTCAAGTCTCCTGGAACCCACTACACTAGTAACGAATTGGCATGTTCTGTTTACGTGACAAACTTACTAATTGGCGGTGGTGGGTTTAACGACACTTTGATATTTACGCGATCTAACCCATGAAATTTATGGATAGTATTTTTTATTAAGTTGTATGTATGTACTGCTCCTGCATTATATTCTTGGTTCTTTCGGTAAAGTTACATTGTTTGTTTTGCACGCCACAGTGCCGCCACTCTCTTTGTTTGTTTTGGAGGCATTTTTTCTCGTAAACAATATGACCACCAAATCTTTAACGCGAGAGAACCTCCCGTCGTCGCTAAACAACTGTGTTTGTGTTGCTAGGGGGAACTGCCAGTCGGCGTTGCACATGAGCAGATGCGTGCTTTGGCGCGGCTCAGTTATCAAGATGAGCGTACATTGTACAAAGTGTGATTTTCTTAGTTTAGATGGAACCAAGGGCAAAAACAAATAGCAAGTGTTCATCCAGGGGCTTAGTTTGTTGTATTTGTGTACTCTGTTGAAACGTAAACCCAATAGTTTGTCAGTTAATATTATTACAAGGCGCACACACAGAGAGACATACAAACAGCCAAAAAATTACGTTTATAGGTTAGATTTACGGTGCGGTATTTGTTACAGTCCAGTATTACATGCAAATGTACGACGTTTTCTCTTAATTTATGAGGTATTAACGGTGCGTCACCCTTTTTGTTGCGTTGAACCGTAACACGTTTCACAACACCGACCGTGCGGGCATTTAAATACGGCGCCGTACACGACTTACGAAACCGTGCTACGTTATGAACGGGAGGGGGGGGGGCGATTCAGATGGAGCCAGAGGTCGCAACCGGGTACCCGATACCCGTACCCTACCCGATACCCGGCTACCCGTACCCGGCTACCCGTACCCGTTTGCGACCCTGGTGTGGCCGGGTACGGGTAGACCGTGAGTCACTCGTGAGTAACCGTTTGTCACTCATTTCCCAACGTCTTGTCTCTTCTCACAATTCAAGTTCCTAGAATCATCCCACCCGCGCCTGCAACATGGCTTCATCCCAGAGGTCGCAATCAGGTACCCGATACCCATACCCTACCCGTATCCGGCCGGGTATGGGTAGGGTACGGCCGGGTACGGGTACCCGTTTGCGACCCTGGTGCGGCCGGGTGCGGGTAAGGAATCAAAACCCGTTTGCGACCTCTGGATGGAGCTCATGGAGGGGGTGGGGCGGAGGGGTCACTCGGTGCGCCTCTTCCCCCTGCTGCATGAAACCGGACGAGCGATGGTGCGGTATGCTACGCTCCTCCGCTTACTGGTCCTCCTGACGCATCATCTGGGCTAGACCACCTGGTGAATGCGAAATTACAGTCGTTTGTCTCTGCATCTACATCGGCAGCCGTACGACAAGAAGAATGTGAAGAAGATGCCAGCATAGGCCAGAAGTCGCAAACGGGTTTTGATTCCTTACCCGCACCAGGGTCGCAAACGGGTACCCGTACCCGGCCGTACCCGTACCCTACCCGGCCGGGTATGGTACGGGTATCGGGTACCTGATTGCGACCTCTGGGATGAAGCCATGTTGCAGGCGCGGGTGGGTTGATTCTAGGAACTTTAATTGTGAGAAGAGACAAGACGTTGGGAAATGAGAGACAAGACGTTGGGAAATGAGTGACAAACGGTTACTCACCAGTGACTCACGGCCTACCCGTACCCGGCCGCAGCAGGGTCGCAAACGGCTACCCGTACCCGGCCGTACCCTACCCATACCCGGCCGGGTACGGGTAGCCGGGTATCGGGTAGGGTACAGGTATCGGGTACCCGGTTGCGACCTCTGGCATCGACGCTTCCGTCTCCTTGGTGGTTGTCAAGCAGAGTCCTCAGGTTTCACCCCCACCCCCACCCCGACGTTTAGAATCAACATCACCAGGCGTTTAGAGAGTACAGTAAAACCTTAGATTGCGAGCAACTTGGTCTGCGAGTGTTTTGCAAGACGAGCAACATTTTTAAATAAATATAAATTTGATAAACGAGCGAGGTCTGCAATACGAGTAGTACGCTTTGTCTGCCGAGCGTCACGTGATCACAACTGATATACGAGTACTTTGGATTACAAGCACGTTTCCGGAACGAATTATGCTCACAATCCAAGATTTTACTGTATTTGGTTGCTGCTATAAGTTCTAGATTTGAAGGTTTCGTGACTGTAGGGATTCATATTCTTAGGTTTTTTCAGGAAAGTCACGTAGGGAAAAATAAATAAATAAGAAAATGTTATAATACAAATAGTAGAAATTATAATAGAAATAAAATAATAAATATGATGGAAGCTTGTGCTGCCTACGAAACGTCGTGATTTATTATTTTATTTCTATTGTTATGTATTTGTATTATTTATTTACTTTCCCCTACGTGACTTTACCGAAAAAACCTAAGAGTATGCTGCTATAAGTGTCCACGTGATGGTAGGCCGCTTCATTGAGGTATAATTTGTGTTGGCCAGGTCGCTTCTGAAAGATAGCTATGTGGCTCAGTGGTGGGCCCTTACCTGGTAAAATAAAAGTCTATGTAGTTCTCACTTCACGTGTATCTGTTCTCAGAACAAAAAATATTGCCTCTACATTGTGTACCTTCACAGTCGTGCAGACTCGCTCGTGCTTTCGAACAGCCGTTATATCGCACGCCATTTTCTCAACATTTCTCTCTCTCGGTCAGCTTCTCGAGTGTTTAATCTCCACTCTAAGAGACCTGCCCCCTCTGTGTAGTGCACCTCCTCCACCCGCGCCACCAAATTAACAAAGGTCCCAGTCGAGGACTCACTCGACATGCTTGATTGGAGTGTCCTTCACGCTTCCCACATAGACCTCAACATCCGTTCCCAAAGCAGAGACTCGGCCTCCAGTGTGCCACCTTCACCCCAGCCGCGTCTCACAGTCGGGGCTTTCTTCCCGTTCCCGCTTCACGATCGGTAAGGAGGCAGAAGGATCTTCACCATCACATTCCACCTTCACCCCTGACCACATCTCGAAGCTGGCAATCCCTCCGCGCTCTCGCTTTACGATCGGAATGGAGGTGGAAGGATCTTCACCGACGCATTCTACCTTGACCCCTGGCAACGTCTCAAAGCTGAGGGTCTCTCCGTATTCTGATGTTAGCGATGCCGAGGGGGTAGCCGAGGGGGTCACCGAGGGGGTTTCTGAGTCGGTTGCCATGAGACCTTCGCCCCCGAGGCTCGCCACGACCTCCCCAGCGGCAGTCCCACCCTTGTGGAGCCCGGTCCGCCCGCGGGCGCAGCAGAGGCGGAGGAGGGGGGTACGAGCCGGCGGCGTCGACGCGCTAGAGCCCACGCGGGCCTGCCGGCACGCCCGGAAGCCCCCTGCCTCGGAGGAGGCCTTCCCGCGTGTGGGGCACGTGAGGGACCTCCCACCCGAGTGCGTCTTCTTGTGTACGTGGAGGGTGCCCAAGTGCGTGAACGACCTGCCGCACACGTCGCACGTGTACGGTCTCTCGCCTGTGTGGGTGCGCTTGTGGATACCCAGGGTGCCCGACTGGGTGAAGGACTTGCCGCACGTGGTGCACTCGTAGGGCCTCTCGCCCGTGTGGGTCCTCTCATGTTTGACGAGAACCTTCGACAGGGCAAATCGCTTCCCGCACACTGTGCACCCGTAGGGCTTCTCGCCCGTGTGGGTCCTCTTGTGGTGGATGAGAGCCGTCGATCGGCTGTATGCCTTGCCGCACGTGGCACACTTGTACGGCTTCTCGCCCGTGTGGACCCGAGTGTGGATGACGAGGGTGCTCGGGTGCACGAACGCCTTGCCGCACACGGCGCACACGTACGGCTTCTCGTTCGTGTGGATCCTCTGGTGTTTGAGGAGGTGTTGCGACTGAGTGAAGTCCACCCCGCAGACATTGCAGTGGTAGGGCCTCTCGCCCACGCGGATTCTCTTTTCCGATGAGACGTCTCTTGGCGGTGGGACGATCGACTTCCTGCGTCGCGCCCGATTGATGTGCATGCTTTGATGGGAGCAGTAGTCTTTCGAATTCGCGAAAACTTCATCGCACACCCAGCATTTGTAGAGCTTCTCGTCGGCATGGCTCCTCTGGTGGCCGATCAGAGTGGCCGCTTTGTCCGTGCTGTATGGGCAGTAGGGGCACTGGTACAGCACAGACTCGGTCCGGCGCCTGTGCTGCTTCATGTGGTCCTCCAGGGCGGGCAGGCTGATCACCACCCAGTTGCAGATCGGGCAGTAGATCTTCATCTCTCCTCCCTCATTCATCGTTCCCGTCTTGGCACTGGGGCAAAGAGTGAGGCATACGAAGGAAAATTAATCTCCCTCGCCCCGCCCCTGCGAAGTATCGCAAACAGGTCGTGAAGCTAGAAACCACCGACACCGGTTGCTAAACGTCGAACAAAGGCAGTGGTCGCCACTGCGTCGCATGTCCCTTTCAGATGTTGCTGCTACTTGTGGCGGCCATCTGGAACGCTCTTCCTCTCCGGTATAAGGAAGCCACTGGGAGCAACGATGCACTTTTAAATCATCATCTAGATTAACAAACTCAATTCTTTAGAATTGCTGCTTGTTGTTGTGTTGTCCTTCCCCTGCACATCCTATTAGCGCGGTTGGCTACTGTTCTGTAGTTATTTTTGCTGCCTTGTCCAATTTGATAGATCAAACTTAAACAATAATTTCCATTTCACGACTTGCCTGCCTTTTGTTCTATTTTGCACTCCTATCGTTTGTTTGTGTGTATCGTGTTTGCGTGTATTGTTTGTGTGTATCGTGTGTTTATGTGTATAGTGTGTTTGCCGTTGTAAATTGCTGACTCCCCATGACCATACTGGACATGTGGAAAAGAGCTTCATAGCTCATCGGATTCCTCCTGCAGTCTAAATAAAGATTCTGATTCTGACTGAGTTGATTAGCAGATGCACCACCTGTGCCCCCTACTGTGCAAACTTGCTGCGTTTTAGTCGCCCGGCGCTCTGCTCGTTGTTGTGAGCGTCGCTCCTCTGCCCTCCGTTGTTGCTGGAGGGGGACTGCCCCCAACTGCCCAGTAGCAGCATCCTTCACGAGCCTCCTCCTCCACAGAGGCCGATCTTGACACCGCTGGTGCCAGTCGTTGGAAAGTCCACTCGGCTCCACATCCTCCCGTACCGCATCAGCGCCATCTCATCTCCAGCCCGTACCACGCCCGGTTCGCCCCCCACTATCGGGCCAAACAGAAGCTGCTTGGGCATGCGCGGTGGCTGGACATGCGGGCTACATGACCCAGTCAATGTAGCCTTGAAGGAGCTCGCCGATGATAGGGACCGTGTCCAGATCTTTCAAGAATTTGTGAGCTCCTCACACTGCGACTCAGCCTGCAGGTTAAACCCACCATGGATCGTAGGCAGGGCCGGCCTGCAAGTTTCAAACCAGCGCAGAAATCTCTCATGATCTCTCTACTCGCGATTTCGCCCTCGCGATGTCTCACAATCTCTCACTCACGATCTCCCCCTCACGATCTCCCCCTCACGATCTCCCACTCACGATCTCCCCCTCACGATCTCCCACTCACAATCTCCCACTCACAATCTCCCACTCACAATCTCCCACTCACAATCTCCCACTCACAATCTCCCACTCACGATCTCCCACTCACGATCTCCCACTCACGATCTCCCACTCACGATCTCCCACTCACGATCTCTCACTCACGATCTCCCACTCACGATCTCCCACTCACAATCTCCCACTCACAATCTCCCTCTCACATTCTCCCTCTCACAATCTCCCACTCACAATTTGCCACTCACAATCTCCCACTCACAATCTCCCACTCACAATCTCCCACTCACAATCTCCCACTCACAATCTCCCTCTCACAATCTCCCTCTCACAATCTCCCTCTCACAATCTCCCACTCACAATCTCCCACTCACAATCTCCCACTCACAATTTGCCACTCACAATCTCCCACTCACAATCTCCCTCTCTCCCACGGTCTCTCTCTCTCACGGCATATCTCCCTCAAAGTCTCTCCAATCAGGAACTCCCACGGTCTCTCTCCTCTCGCCGTCTCCCACGATCACTCACGATCTTCCCCCACCTCCCCCTCTCTTACTCCCTCTCACTCCCTCTCACTTTCTCCTTCACGGCCTCTCCCCCACGGCTTCTCCCCCACGGCCTCTCACCCACGGTCTCTCCCCCACGGTCTCTCCCCCACGGCTTCTCAACCACAGTCTCTCACCCACGGCCTCTCCCCCACGGTCTCTCTCACCCACGGCCTCTCTTCCCCACGGTCTTTCACCCACGGCCTCTCCCCCACGGTCTCTCACCCACGGTCTCTCACCCACGGCCTCTCTCCCACGGCCTCTCTCCCACGGCCTCTCTCCCACGGTCTCTCCCCCACGGTCTCTCTCCCACGGTCTCTCCCCCACGGTCTCTCCCCCACGGCCTCTCCCCCACGGCCTCTCACTCACGGCCTCTCCCCCACGGCCTCTCCCCCACGGCCTCTCACTCACGGCCTCTCCCCCACGGCCTCTCTCCCACGGCCTCTCACTCACGGCCTCTCCCCCACGGCCTCTCACTCACGGCCTCTCCCCCACGGCCTCTCACCCACGGCCTCTCCCCCACGGTCTCTCCCCCACGGCCTCTCACTCACGGCCTCTCTCCCACGGCCTCTCACTCACGGCCTCTCCCCCACGGCCTCTCACTCACGGCCTCTCTCCCACGGTCTCTCACCCACGGCCTCCGCTTCCTCTCCGTCAGAATCCTTCCGTCGCGTGCGAGTGACGTAGAGGGGGGGGCGAGCAAAATGGGAGCATCCGACGCCGGCGTGACGTCACGACCGGTGGACGACGAAGGGACGTGACGATCCGACCGGTGGGGGGTGGGGGCGAAGGGACGTGACGTCATGAGAGGTGGGTGGTTGGACGAAGAGACATGATGTCACGACTAGTGGGGGGGGGGGGGGGCGAAGAGACGTGACGATGCAACCGGTGGGCAACGGACAGACGTGACGTCAGAGCTCACTTGCCGTTCAAAATATATGCATTATTGAGCCCCCCCCCCAAAAAAAATACAAAAGTCTATTTTCATACGTTTTGCATTGTGTACAGTCTGGAAGCTACCCACATGGCACATTTCAAGTTTGTTGCATGTCGGGAAGTACGCTAAACATTTCGAACAGACACATTCACAACTTTGCCTTTTCTATATATGTAGATTATCAGTATATAGTAACACAGTAACACGGTACGTAATATGAAACGAAATTTAGCAACATACAACGGATGACCGCTGCAAAGGAAGATCTTGAGTTTTGATTATAGTGTGCTGATCTTTAAAGGTGCATTGAAAAATTTTGATACTCCTGCTGCAAAGTTTGGTCGTACATGTTATGTAAATCGTTTATTGTTAAATTTGAATCACAGTTCCTATGATCATTGTTACATTATTTTTTAGCTTTATTTTGGCGATTTCGAAAACATATGGTTTAGCCACGTTTGTTGAAGTACAGAGTTAGCCTGATAACTTTAATCTACATTGTCTTATGGTTGTTAGTGTTTGACTTGCATCCCACTGGTATTTTATACACAGCGGTGATATACTGTGTTTTTTTCTGGAAGACTTTGCTGTTTTTTCCTGGATTTTTCTGTTGTGCGTCGTCAGTTTAAGATGTTCTTTGTTCATGTTTTTGTTTGTTGTGGTTGCACCCGAGTCAAGAGCCGCATGGCTCACATGGCTATATATCTTCTATATAAATAAAAGTCAAAAATTGTGCGTGGGTTTGTGTGGGTTTGTTTGTGGTCGCGTGCTTGGCTCTCCAACGGTGGAGTTTACATAAAAATTAAATAGCAAGGTACCACGCCGTGAGCAAGCGCTATTCCTTTTTCACATCCGTCAAATTTAAATTAGTTAAATTAGCGATTTAGTGCGATTTAGGCCTCGGCAAGGTAAGGTAAAAGGTAAAAACAACGAGCCTACCGTTACCCTACCTTTTACCTTACCACAATACAATCACTCTACCCATAATTTTACCCTTTAGCAAGGTAAGGTAAAAGGTCAAAAGCAACGAGCCTGCCTTTACCCTACCTTTTACCCGTACCCCATGCAAATTACCCGATTACAGGGTAATTACTGGTGTACTACACATAACAGGTAAATGCTAGGTAGAGCGCTTTATGAATTTATTTCTATAAAAGGGAAATTTGTGAATGTGTGTCTGTTCAAAATGTTTAGCATACTTCCCGACATGCAACAAAGTTGAAATTTGGCATGTGGGTACTTTCCAGACTGTACACCATGCAAAAATTGAATTTTTTATCTACTCCATTGGTGGGCGTGGCCTACTGTGCACTCACGTGACCCTATAGGCCCAATCCATGGCCATTATTACTTTCATGCACAATTATATACTTGTGTTTCGATTTAAAGCTTTCGTGACTGCAGGGATTCATCTTCTTGGTTCTTTCGGTAAAGTCACGTAGAAGGGAAATAATAAAAAATAAATTATTATGTTTTATTTGTATTATTTGATTATTTCCCTTCTACGTGACTTTACTGAAAGAACCAAGATGAATTATACTTGTGGTTCATTTACATTAAGCCCATACCGGCTACACAAGGAAGAGTAATACCTGATCAAACCAAGGGCATCAAAACCACCAAGACTTAATGGGCTACCAAAGATTCACAAACCTGATGTCCCATTAAGAATCATAGTTAGTACAATAGGCTCTGCCAAATACAAATTAACACAATACGTAACGAAACAAATACAGCCCAACATCGGTAGGACCTCTTCGTTCATCAAAAACTCTGAACATCTCGTAAGTATAATTAAACATATTAAGCTTAACTCTAATGATAGCCTCGTAAGTTTTGATGTGTTCCGGTAAACGAGTTAATTTAATTATTCGACACTCTGGTAACGAGCATAGGTTTAGCCAAATATATCCCAAGACTAGCTGAACACTGTCTAAAGAACATCTATTTCTTGTGGAAAGGTGAATTCTATAAACAAAAGTAAGGAGCAGCAATGGGCTCTCCTTTGTCTCCTGTGATAGCGAATTTGTACATGGGAAATTTTGAAACAAAAGCAATACCTTCAAGCACACGAAAACCCTCTGTTTAGTTTAGATGTGGATGACATATAGGTGGTCAGGCCACACGGCTAAGATACACTTAACGAATTTCTAAATCATTGTGGCAAATGCTATGTTGGGCAAACACGACGAATGATCAGCACGAGACTAAAAGAACACCAAATAAATATTAAATACTCCCAAATACAACTGTCAGCATTAGCAGAACATGCGTGCCAACAAGGACACTCAATTTATTTTGATCATGTTGACGTTCTGTGCTAAATTAGCTACTACTGGCCAAGACTAATTAGATAATTCATCGACATTGAAAGAAATACAAATTATTTTAACCGTTCAGATAGCTACTTAGTGCTGTGTGGAAGCGAATCATCAAATACATTGTTTAAATGCATACCTATACAGGCCACCATACTTCAATAGGGATTATCGTTGGTACGGCAATTTTAATACACACAATGGACAGGAAGGACAAGATCAATGGGCCAGCATAATGCACATGCATAATGTACGTTGACTCAAGAGCGCAGAAGCTTCGTCACCACATCTACGTCTCTATATAAGGAACAAATAGGTGGACTTCTCCACAAATCTGGCTGTCGCCTAATGAAGCTAGTTGTAATTACTGGCGAAATGTTGTACTCAGATTGTAAATGTTGTGGCTTGGCTCTCCAACACACTGGCAAGCTGTACTAGTGACAAATTGGCATGTTCTGTTTACGTGACAACCCTTACTAGTTGGCTGTGTCGGGTGGTGGTGAGTTTAACGACGCGATTATGCAATTAGAGAAATATATCCCGAAACAGTAGTGTACATGCCAGTGTGTAGATTTGGCTAATAGATACTTGTCAATGGCTAGTATAACATCAATGAATTCATTGGTGTGATTATGCAATTAAAGAAATATCCAGAAACAAAAGTGGACATGCCAATGGCTAATAGATGCTTATCAATGGCTAGTATTACATCAATAAATTAATTGGCAAAATTACGTGATGAAAAGAAACAAATGACTAAAATACTGCTAAACGACCGTATCCATGCAATTTAAGGGACAGAACAATGCTTCTCCACGACCAGTTAATCAGTAACACACCATCTTGGAATGGCAACTTTATGCGAAACCAAAACCCCGCGGAACAATCTTATTTGTACCGATATGCGCATTGTGTGTGTGTGTGCTGGAGGGCAGTCACCAAGAGGTCCAATAATTATAGCGGGTAGTATGGTTTGAGTTTGTCCACGTACGATCTCTGCTATTGGTGGTTCTGGGGTCCAGAGGCGGTGATCGGCTTGTTAGCGGTGTGCTTCCTCCTACCGAAAATACCTCAGGTCCCCAGCAAAGTGCGTTGGGTCAGTGGGTGTATGCGAGCACACGGCGTGATTTTACTCGGCTGCATCCAGCCAGGCTCCGCTTCCACGGCTGGATAATTAGTCCGGCTCTGCTTAACAAAGATTCGTGGCATGCAGTAATTGTTACCAAAGATATTGAGGGTCCTATTAACCTTTGTTCCCCGTCTGTATCGCCAAGGATCCGCGCTTCTTATTCTCAAGTTATGTTTTGATATCCTGATGTTGAAGGTATAGCTAAGCTTGTAACTCCACTGCTGAACTTTTAAACTTTCTCCAGCCCGGGCTTGTAATAATTATTACCCACCTTTAGGTGGACCTCACTGTCTGGTGGAGGCCCCTGGTTCCCTATGGTTCTGTTATTGTTCCTCTCTGGCTTTGTCTTACCCTTTTGAACTGGTTGTCCAAGTTGTGTGTCATTTCCATCTATTATCTGTGTGTAGTTACCTTTATTGCGGCTTCCTCTTAGAAGCCAATTTCAACTCCCTCGAGACAACAGATCTATAAATACTATTACATTAAGAATAGGCAAAATCACTCTTAATATGTTTGGAAAAGGGGGTGCACGCACTCCCTGGAGGTGCGAGATGCCCTTAGTTGGGGGTGTGTGAGAAATGTCCAGATTTGTTTTAGAAGATGAATTATAATCCAAAACACAAATTAAGCACGGGCACGTAATACACAACTTACTTTCTTTCATCAAGTCTTGTGTATTCATTTAACACCTCAAGATCGGCAAAGGTCCGGAAAAGGTGTTGCTTCAAAATCTGGTTTGGTGTCTCCTCCGTTGGATGACATGATGTTAACTACCTCGTCTGGTATACAGGAGGTCGTGGGTTCAATCCCAGTTCTGACACGGGCTGCTGTATGTGGTTCATGTAGATTTTTCTCCGGGTCCTCTGGTTTCCCCCCCACCCCCACCACCCGACATTTAAAATCAACATCACCAGGCGTTAAGAGAGTATTTGGCTGCTGCTATAAGTGTCCACGTGATGATAGGCCGCTTCCTTGAGGTATCATTTGTGATGGCCAAGTCGCTTCTAAAAAGAGCTACGTGGCTCAGTGGTGGGCCCTTACCTGATAAAATAAAACAAAGAGTCTACGTAATTTTAACTTCACGTGTAGCTGTTCACAGAACAAAAAATATTGTCTCCACGTTGTGTACCTTCATAGTCGTGCAGATACGCTCGTGCTTTCGATCGGCCGATGTATCACGCGGAATTTTCTCAACATTTCTCTCTCGGTCAGCTTCTCGAGAATTTAATCTCCACTCCACGAGACTTGCCCCTCTGTGTAGTACACATTATCCACCCATGCCACCAAATTAACAAAGGTCCCAATCAAGGACTCGCTCTCACTCGACATGCTTGCTTGGAGCATCCTCCTTTACTCTTCCCACGTAGACCTCAACATCCGTTCCCAAAGCAAAGACTCGGCCACCCGTGTGCCACCTTCACTCCAGCCGTGTCTCACAGCTGGGGCTTTCTTCCTGTTCCTGCTTCACAATCGAGAGGGGAACTGAAAAATCCTCCCCCCCCAGTTCTATTTTCACCCCTGGCCAAGTCTCGACGCTGGCGATCCCTCCACGCTCCTGCTTCATGATCGGCAGGGAGGCGGAAGGATCTTCACCGTCGCATTCCACCTTCACCCCTGGCCACGTCTCGAAGCTGAGGGTCTCTCCCCGTTCTGATGTTAGCGATGCCAAGGGGGTCACCGAGGGGGTCGCCGCAGGACCCTCGCCCCCGAGGCTCGCCACGACCTCCCCAGGGGCAGTCGCACCCTCGTGCAGCCTGGCCCTACCGCAGGCGCGGCGGCGGAGGAGGGGGGGACGGGCCGGCGGCGTCGACGCGCTCGAGCCCGCGCGGGCCTGCCGGCACGCCCGGAGGCGCCCTGCCTCAGAGGAGGCCTTCCCGCGCGTGGGGCACGTGAGGGACCTCCCACCCGAGTGCGTCTTCTTGTGTACGTGGAGGGTGCCCAAGTGCGTGAACGATCTGTCGCACACGTCGCACGTGTACGGTCTCTCGCCTGTGTGGGTGCGCTTGTGGATGCCCAGGGTGCCCGACTGGGCGAAGGACTTGCCGCACGTGGCGCACCCATAGGGCTTCTCGCCCGTGTGGGTCCTCTCATGTTTGACAAGAACCCTCGACTGGGCGAATCGCTTCCCGCACACCGTGCACCCGTAGGGCTTCTCGCCCGTGTGGGTCCTCTTGTGGTTGAGGAGCGCCGTCGACTGGTTGAATGCCTTGCCGCAAGTGGCGCACTTGTACGGCTTCTCGCCCGTGTGGACCCGACTGTGGATGACGAGGTTGTCCGAGCGCACGAACGCCTTTCTGCACACGGTGCATGCGTACGGCTTCTCGTTCGTATGGATTCTCTTGTGGTTGAGGAGGTGGTGCGACTGAGTGAAGTCCTCCCCGCAGACATTGCAGTGGTAGGGCCTTTCGACCGCGCGGGTTCTCTCATCTGGTGAGACGTCTCCTGGCAGTGGGACGATCGACTTCCTGCGTCGTGCCCGATTGATGTGCATGCTCTGATGGGAGCAGAAGTCTCCTGAATTCGCGAAAACTTCATCGCACACCCAGCACTTGAAGAGCTTCTCGTCGGCGTGGCTCCTCTGGTGGCCGATCAGAGTAGCCGCTTCCTCCGTGCTGTACGGGCAGTGGGGGCACTGGTACAGCACGGACTTGGTCAGGCCCTTGTGCTTCGTCATGTGGTCCTCCAGGGCAGGGAGGCTGATCACCACCCAGTTGCAGATCGGGCAGTAGATCTTCATCTCTCCTCCCTCGTTCATCGTTCTCGTCCTGGCACTGGGGCAAAGAGTGAGGCACACGAAGGGAAATTAATCTCCCTCGCCCCACCCCTGTGACGTATCGCAAACAAGGCGTGAATATAGAAACCACGGACACTGGTTACTAACTGTAGGACAAAGAAAGTGGTCGTTGCTGCGTCGCATGTCGCTTTCAGATTCTGCTGCTGCTTGTGGTAGACGTCTGGAACGCTCTTCCTCTCCGGTATGAGGAAGCCACTGGGAACTACGATGCACTTTTAAATCATCACCTAATTTCTTTAGAACTGCTGCTTGTTGTTGTGTTTAATTTGGCTACTGATGTTTTTGCTTCTTGCCCAATCTTGATAAATCGGACTTAAATAATTAATTTCCATTTCACGACTTGTTTACCTTTTGTTCTATTTTGCACTCCTATCGTGTGTTTGTGTGTATCGTGTTTGTGTGTATCTTGTTTGTGTGTATCATGTTTGTGTGTATCGTGTGTTTGTGTGTATCGTGTTTGTATCGTGTGGTTGCCGTTGAAAATCGCTGACTCCCCATGCCCATACTGGACATTTGTGGAAAAGAGCTTCAGAGCTCATCGGATTCCTCCTCCTGCAGTCTAAATAACCATTCTGATTCTGAGATGACTGGCAGATGCACCACCACCTGTGCCCCCTACTGTGCAAAATGTGTGCATTTTAGTCGCCCGGCGCTCTGCTCGTTGTTGTGAGCGCACATCCTCTGTCCTCCATTGTTGGTGGAGGGGGACTGCCTCCAACTGCCCAGTAGCAGCGTCCTTCACGAGCCTCCTCCACAGAGCCCAATTTTGACACCGCTGGTACCAGTCATCATCAAGTCCACTCAGCTCCACATCCTCCTGTACCACATCACTCCATCTCTTCTCTAGCCCGTACCGCGCCCGTTTAGCCCCCCTCGATCCGGCCAAACAGAAAGAAGCTGCTTGGGCGTGCAGTGGCCGGGCATGCAGGCAACATGACCCAGTCAACGTAGCCTTGGAGGAGCTCGCCGATGATAGGGACCGTGTCCAGATCTTTCAAGTACTTGTGAGCTCCTCACACTGCGACTCAACCTGCAGGTTAAACCCAAGATGGATCGTAGGCAGGGCCAGCCGGCAAGTTTCAAATCGGCGCCGAAATCTCTCATCATGGTCTCTCCACTCGCGATTTCTCCCTCGCCATGTCTCCCACATTCTCTATATCATGGTCTCTCCTCACAATCTCCCTCGCACGATCTCCCTCGCACAATCTCCCTCGCACAATCTCCCTCGCACAATCTCCCTCGCACAATCTCCCTCGCACAATCTCCCTCGCACAATCTCCCTCGCACAATCTCCCTCGCACAATCTCCCTCGCACAATCTCCCTCGCACAATCTCCCTCGCACAATCTCCCTCGCACAATCTCCCTCGCACAATCTCCCTCGCACAATCTCCCTCGCACAATCTCCCTCACTCAATCTCCCTCACTCAATCTCCCTCACTCAATCTCCCTCACTCAATCTCCCTCACTCAATCTCCCTCACTCAATCTCCCTCACTCAATCTCCCTCACTCAATCTCCCTCACTCAATCTCCCTCACTCAATCTCCCTCACTCAATCTCCCTCACTCAATCTCCCTCTGACAATCTCCCTCTGACAATCTCCCTCACACGACCTCCCTCACACGACCTCCCTCTCAAAATCTCCCTCTCACAATCTCCCACGGCCTCCCACGGCCTCACCCTCTCTATTACCCACCGTCTCTCTCCCTCAAAGTCTCCCGTGGTCTCTCCACTCACGAACTCCCAATGTCTCCCTCTCTCTCTCTCACGGTCTCCCACGATCACTCACGATCTGCCCCACCTCCCACGGCCTCTCTCACCCACGGCCTCTCTCACCCACGGCCTCTCTCACCCACGGCCTCTCTCACCCACGGCCTCTCTCACCCACGGCCTCTCTCACCCACGGCCTCTCTCACCCACGGCCTCTCTCACCCACGGCCTCTCTCACCCACGGCCTCTCTCACCCACGGCCTCTCTCACCCACGGCCTCTCTCACCCACGGCCTCTCTCACCCACGGCCTCTCTCACCCACGGCCTCTCTCACCCACGGCCTCTCTCACCCACGGCCTCTCTCACCCACGGCCTCTCTCACCCACGGCCTCTCTCACCCACGGCCTCTCTCACCCACGGCCTCTCTCACCCACGGCCTCTCTCACCCACGGCCTCTCTCACCCACGGCCTCTCTCACCCACGGCCTCTCTCACCCACGGCCTCTCTCACCCACGGCTCTCTCACCCGGCCTCTCTCACCCACGGCCTCCCTCACCCACGGCCTCCCTCACCCACGGCCTCCCTCACCCACGGCCTCCCTCACCCACGGCCTCCCTCACCCACGGCCTCCCTCACCCACGGCCTCCCTCACCCACGGCCTCCCTCACCCACGGCCTCCCTCACCCACGGCCTCCCTCACCCACGGTCTCCCTCACCCACGGTCTCCCTCACCCACGGCCTCCCTCACCCACGGCCTCCCTCACCCACGGCCTCCCTCACCCCGGCCTCCCTCACCCACGGCCTCCCTCACCCACGGCCTCCCTCACCCACGGCCTCCCTCACCCACGGCCTCCCTCACCCACGGCTCCCTCACCCACGGCCTCCCTCACCCACGGCTCCCTCACCCACGGCCTCCCTCACCCACGGCCTCCCTCACCCACGGCCTCCCTCACCCACGGCCTCCCTCACCCACGGCCTCCCTCACCCCCCGGCCTCCCTCACCCCACGGCCCTCCCTCACCCACGGCCTCCCTCACCCCGGCCTACCCACCCCGGCCTTCCCTCACCCACGGCCTCCCTCACCCACGGCCTCCCTCACCCACGCCTCCCTCACCCACGGCCATGCCCTCACCCCCGGCCTCCCTCACCCACGGCTCCCTAACCAAGGCCTCCCTCACACCACAGGCCTCCCTCGACCACGGCCTCCCTCCACCCACGGCCTCCTCACCCACGGACTCCCTCACCCACGGCCTCCCTCACCCACGGCCTCCCTCACCCACGGCCTCCCTCACCCACGGACCTCCCTCACCCACGGCCTCCCCTCACCCACGGCCTCCCTCACCCACGAGGCCTCCCTCACCCACGTCCTCCCTCCACCCACGGCCTTCCCTCACCCCACGGCCTCCCTCACCCACGGCCTCCCTCACACCACGGCCTCCCTCACCCAACGGCCTCCCTCACCCACGGCCTCCCTCACCCACGGCATCCCTCACCCACGGTCTCCCTCACCCACGGTCCTCCCTCACCCACGGTCCTCCCTCACCCACGGTCCTCCCTCACCCACGGTCTCCCTCACCCACGGTCTCCCTCACCCACGGTCCTCCCTCACCCACGGTCTCCCTCACCCACGGTCTCCCTCACCCACGGTCTCCCTCACCCCGGTCTCCCTCACCCACGGTCTCCCTCACCCACGGTCTCCCTCACCCACGGTCTCCCTCACCCACGGTCTCCCTCACCCACGGTCTCCCTCACCACGGTCTCCCTCACCCACGGTCTCCCTCACCCACGGTCTCCCTCACCCACGGTCTCCCTCACCCACGGTCTCCCTCACCCACGGTCTCCCTCACCACGGTCTCCCTCACCCACGGTCTCCCTCACCCACGGTCTCCCTCACCCACGGTCTCCCTCACCCACGGTCTCCCTCACCCACGGTCTCCCTCACCCACGGTCTCCCTCACCCACGGTCTCCCTCACCCACGGTCTCCCTCACCCACGGTCTCCCTCACCCACGGTCTCCCTCACCCACGGTCTCCCTCACCCACGGTCTCCCTCACCCACGGTCTCCCTCACCCCGGTCTCCCTCACCCACGGTCTCCCTCACCCACGGTCTCCCTCACCCACGGTCTCCCTCACCCACGGTCTCCCTCACCCACGGTCTCCCTCACCCACGGTCTCCCTCACCCACGGTCTCCCTCACCCACGGTCTCCCTCACCCACGGTCTCCCTCACCCACGGTCTCCCTCACCCACGGTCTCCCTCACCCACGGTCTCCCTCACCCACGGTCTCCCTCACCCACGGTCTCCCTCACCCACGGTCTCCCTCACCCACGGTCTCCCTCACCCACGGTCTCCCTCACCCACGGTCTCCCTCACCCACGGTCTCCCTCACCCACGGTCTCCCTCACCCACGGTCTCCCTCACCCACGGTCTCCCTCACCCACGGTCTCCCTCACCCACGGTCTCCCTCACCCACGGTCTCCCTCACCCACGGTCTCCCTCACCCACGGTCTCCCTCACCCACGGTCTCCCTCACCCACGGTCTCCCTCACCCACGGTCTCCCTCACCCACGGTCTCTCTCACCCACGGTCTCTCTCACCCACGGCCTCCCACCCCCCACGGCCTCTCACCCACGACCTCTCACCCACGACCTCCGCTCCTTCATCCGTCGGCTTCCTTCCGTCGCGTGCGAGTGACGTGGAGGGAAGCGCCGGCGTGACGTCACGACCGGTGCGGTGATGACGTCACGAAGCGACGTTACTTCGCAACCGGCAGGGGGCGTAGAGACGTTACGTCACGACCGAAGGATGGTTGGACGAAGTGACGTGACGTCACGACCAATGTGGGGGGGAGGGGGCGATGAAACGTGACGTTGCGACCATTGGGGTACGAACCAATGGGACGTCACGACCGGTAGGGTAAGGGAGCACGAGAAGTGACGTCACGACAGGTTGGGGGCGAAGAGACGTGACGTCACGGACAACAAAGTCTGTTACATACTCTGTTTTTTCCGGTAAAGTCACGTAGGTAAAAAATAAATGCAATCACGATGTTTCGATTGCAACACAAGCAATCATCATCAGGTGGGAAAACCACAGCAAAAAAAAATGTTCTTGCAAAAAAATGTTCTTGCAAAAAACATTTCTTGCAAAATGTTTTTCTTGCTGTGGTTTTCCCACAGACTCAACACTGCACCATAGTCTCAACATTGCACCGTAGACTCAACACTGCCCATAGACTCAACATTGTCCTTAGACTCAACACTGCACCATAGACTCAACACTGCACCATAGACTCAACACTGCACCATAGACTCAACATTGCACCATAGACTCAACACTGCCCATAGACTCAACACTGCTCATTGACTCAACACTGCACATAGACTCAACACTGCACCATTGACTCAACACTGCCCATAGACTCAACACTGCCCATTGACTCAACACTGCACCATTGACTTAACACTGCCCATAGACTCAACACTGCCCATAGACTCAACACTGCCCCATAGACTCAACACTGCCCATAGACTCAACACTGCCCATTGACTCAACACTGCACCATTGACTTAACACTACCCATAGACTCAACACTGCCCATTGACTCAACACTGCACCATTGACTCAACACTGCCCATAGACTCAACACTGCCCATAGACTCAACACTGCCCATAGACTCAACACTGCCCATAGACTCAACACTGCCCATTGACTCAACACTGTCCATAGACTCAACACTGCCCATTGACTTAACACTTCACCATTGACTCAACACTGCCCATAGACTCAACACTGCCCATAGACTCAACACTGCACCATTGACTCAACACTGCCCATTGACTCAACACTGCCCATAGACTCAACACTGCCCATAGACTCAACACTACCCATAGACTCAACACTGCCCATAGACTCAACACTACCCATAGACTCAACACTGCCCATAGACTCAACACTACCCATAGACTCAACACTACCCATAGACTCAACACTGCCCATAGACTCAACACTACCCATAGACTCAACACTGCCCATAGACTCAACACTACCCATAGACTCAACACTACCCATAGACTCAACATTGCCCATAGACTCAACACTGCCCATAGACTCAACACTGCCCATAGACTCAACACTGCCCATAGACTCAACACTACCCATAGACTCAACATTGCCCATAGACTCAACACTACCCATAGACTCAACATTGCCCATAGACTCAACACTACCCATAGACTCAACATTGCCCATAGACTCAACACTACCCATAGACTCAACACTACCCATAGACTCAACATTGCCCATAGACTCAACACTACCCATAGACTCAACACTACCCATAGACTCAACATTGCCCATAGACTCAACACTACCCATAGACTCAACACTGCCCATAGACTCAACACTGCACCAAGTGGTGGGGGGGGGGGGAGACGTCCCCGCAGCGGGCGCGTGGTGGGTTGGAGAGAGACGTGACGTCACGTCGAGCAGGAAATGGTGACGTCACGACCGAGTCGCCCGCGTCTGCGTGAGTCCGCATCTTTGTGTCACTGTGGGAGAATCTTCACCCGTGTCTGTCTGTGTGTCAATCTGCGGCCATCTGTGTGTGTGTCTGTATCCGTCTGTGTCTGTGTGTCAATCTGTGGCCATCTGTGTCTGTATTCGTTTGTGTCTGTGTGTAAATCTGTGGCCATCTGTGTGTGTGTCTATCTGTATCCGTATGTGTCTGTGTGTCAATCTGTGGCCATCTGTGTGTATCTGTATGTACCCGTCTGTGTCTGTGTGTCAATCTGTGGCCATCTGTGTGTGTGTGTCTGTATCCTTCTGTGTCTGTGTGTCAATCTGTGACCATCTGTGTGTCTGTCTGTATCTGTATGTGTCTGTGTGTCAATCTGTGGCCATCTGTGTGTATCTGTCTGTATCCGTCTGTGTGTGTGTGTCAATCAGAGGCCATCTGTGTGTGTGTCTGTATCCGTCTGTGTCTGTGTCAATCTGTGGCCATCTGTGTCTGTATCTGTCTGTGTGTGTCAACCTTTGGCCATCTGTGTGTGTCTGTCTGTATCCGTCTGTGTCTCTGGATGTGTGTCAATCTGTGTCCATCCGTGTATGTGTCTGCGTGTCTTAGACTGCGTCTATTTGTGTCTCTGGGGTGTGTGTCCGTCTGTGTGTGTCTTAGTTTGTGTCTATCTGTGTCTCTGAGGTGTGTCCATCTGTGTGTGTGTTAGTCTGTGTCTATCTGTGTATCTGAGGTGTGTGTCCATCTGTGTGTGTGTCTGTGTCTATCTGTGTCTCTGGGGTTTGTGTCCACCCACCTCTGCATCCATCCGCCTGTCTCTGTCGGGTGGTGGAGGGTTGCGACACATTGATAAATAACGCGATCTAACCCCAAAAACGTTGATTATGAATAATATTGGTCGCGAAAGCCTACGTGTTAAACTGTCTCTGTCTTCATTTGTCTTACAGTGTCCCTGTCTCAATCTGTATTCGTCAGTGTGTCAGTGTGTGTCTCTTGTGTGGGAGCAGTGGTGCAAGCGGTCAGCGCTACACTGCGCAACGAACCCGACGACACGAGTTTGATTCCCGCTCACGGTCAACACCAGTGATCGCGATTATCTGAACCGGTCATCGACCTCCTCCCCTAGGTCGACTCGGCCTCAAATGAGTAACCTGGTGCGGTGTGTAGTAAACATCACCACTGGGTAGAGAAAGGTGGCCGGGCGTGGTGTTGGCCACCCACCCCCTCGTGTGCCATGGTGCCAGCCTTCATAGGCCGCTACTCCCTAACAGCAACTTGCCTATACTCTTTGGTTCTTTTGGTAAAGTCATGTAGGTAGAAAAATAATAGATCACGACGTTTCGATCGCAACACAAGCAATCGTCATCAGGTGGGACAACCACAGCAAGAAAAAACTGCTGAAATAGGCGAGAGATCTGCTGTGGCCCAAGGTTTTATAGGCCTCGGCAGTATGGGGGGAAGAGCAGAGGTCGCAATCAGGTACCCGATACCTGTACCCTACCCGTACCCGGCCGGTTACGGGTAGGGTACTGCCGGGTACGGGTACCCGTTTGCGACCCTGGTGCGGCCGGGTACGGGTAAGGAATCAAAACCCGTTTGTGACCTCTGGCACCCGGGTCACTGCAGTAAAGTGAGAGATGCACAGAGAGAGAGAGAAAGACACACAGAGAATCGGAAATAACAGCTGACAGGTAGGATGGAAACATCACAGTCAGTTAAGACTTTACCTGGTTAATAACGTCCTTCCAATGATTGCTCAGTTTGTACCCATCCTCTTGGTTGAAGTTGTGTCTGTGTTTATTTATCTGGATGGCTTCATGAACAAATCTCTGATAATTGCCGGTGGGTTTGCAGAGTACCTTCGTCTTGGAAAAGTCAATTCCGTGCGAGCCCATTTAAAAGTGCATCATTGCTCCCAGTGGCTTCCTAATATCGGAAGGGAAGAGCATTCCAGACTGCCACAGAAGAAGCGGATCTCAAAGCACCACGCGACAATGCGCCGCTGCTTTTGGTGCTACGAGGATGACGGAGAGTTCACGTAACGACGGTTCATGCTCCTGGGCGAGATCATCAGCGAGGTGTAGCGGTTCACCCGTGAATGGATATTGTGCGGTGGCGCATCACGCAATTTTTTCGTTTTATGATTGTTGCCTTTCCCTTGCGTGCCCCAGTGCCGACGCGGAACGGAACGGAGCGAAGATGAAGATCTTCTGCCCGATCTGCAAGTGGCTCGTGGTCAGCCTGCCCGCCCTGGACGACCACATGAAGCGGCACAGGGGGTGGACGGAACCCGCTCTGTTCCGGTGCCCCCACTGCCCGTTCAACACGGACAAGCTGAACGTGTTCATCGGCCACCAGGCGACGCACGACGTGCGCGAGTCGCACAAGTGCGCCGAGTGCGGCAAAGTGTTCATCGACGCCGAGGTCTTCCGCGAGCACCAAGCGGCACACGCCGAGGAGAAGCCCTACAAGTGCACCGATTGTGAACTGGCGTTCAACCGCTCGGAGGATCTTCACGAGCACCAAAAGACGCACGCCGGCGGCAAGCCCTACCACTGCACCGTCTGCGGCATGGACTTCACCCGGTCGGAGCAGCTCCGCAACCACCAGAGGATCCACACGGGCGAGAAGCCCTACAGGTGCGCCGAGTGCGACAAGATATTCGCCCGGTTTGACACCCTTGTTGCCCACCTGCGGGTCCACGAGGGTGGCAGGGCACGTCGGTGTGCCGTGTGCGGCAAGGAGTGTGCAGACTTCAGGGCCCTTCACGTTCACCAGAACGTCCACGGCCTGCCGTCGCGGCCCCCGTCGAGCGGCGGACCGGAGGGTGCCTCGGTTCAGACGTTCGACGCTCCCGTTCCCTGTGGAAACGGAGGTGGCGAACCGAGAAGACGGCGGACATCCGGAGGCGGCGGTGGCGACCGCTCCTTCTCCACTGGAGCGAGGCAAGCAAAGAGAAACGCCCCCACCACCACCCCCACTACCACCTCCTCATCCTCCTTGCCGCCACGCGCGGTGGCTTTGAAACGCGGCCGGCGGCAGTGAAGGCGAAGGCGACGTTTCCACGTGATGATGGTGTCAGCCACCTGGTTGCGCTGCTATCATTTGTGATGGCCCAGGTCACTTCTGAAAAAGAGCTTCTACATAGCTCAGTAGGGGCCTTACCTGGTAACAATAAATAAAAAGTTTTTAAGTAATTTATTTACCTTTCCTATACTTTGTACTCCTATCTTTTTTTTTACTTTGTCGTTGTAGCTTTGCGATCCCCCGTGCCCCTACTGGACATCTGTGACAAAGAGCTTCATAGATCATAGGAATGCCCCTGGATAAGTTAAGATTCTAACTCCGAAGGTTTCTTCATTTCCCCTCTCGATTGTGAAGCGGGAAGACAGATAATAACGTTCAGGTCTGAACAGATTTACCTACGTACATTGAACTTCCCTTCGCACCATACGTAGCCGACCATTGCTAATCGGAGGTTCAGGGGACGCGGAAGGACAACAAACTAAACACAAAAACAAGCAGCAGCTTCCAAACAAATGAGTTTGTCAATCTAGGCGATGACGCAGAACTCGCAGCGTCTTCCTAATATCAGAAAGAGAGCGTTTCAGACGGCCGCGGAAGCATATCGGAAAGTGTCACACGACGATGATGCGGTGACCGCCGCCTTTGATTCGACGGCTGAGCCCGAAGCCGCTGCTGCCGCTGCCGTCGCCGTCGCCGCCGCTGCTGTTGTGAATATGATCACTGGAGTGTCGCGTGGCGATGGTTTATAGCTCCTTGACGAGATCAGCAGCGAGCGTATCGCGGTTCAGTTGTGGCCACGCACTTTGTGTGACCATTGTAGAACCCTCTTCAATGGTTCCAAACACACACAAACACACATATGCACCCTGTACACACACATATATACCCCGTGTACACACACACACATATATATACCCTATACAGCGACTTCTTTATTTACGAATGAGTTATGTTCCAGAGGTAAGTTGCTTTGTTAGTAAGTCCCCAGTTTACTCCTGTCGATTCCAAACAAGTAGTACGGCGGGTACTCTAAACACGGGGAATGGCTTTGAAAGTTACGTACTCTCCTGTAGATGCCTGTTCTGCAGATGGAGATGTCACTGGTCCTTCATGTTCTGCAGATGTAGATGTCACTGGTCCTTCATGTTCTGCAGATGTAGATACAATTGGTTCTTCATGTTCTGCAGATGTAGATGGCGCTGGTCCTTCATGTTGTGCAGATGTAGATGACGCTGGTTCTTCAAGTTCAGTAGATGTAGATGCTACTGGTTATTCAATTTCTGCAGATGTAGATACCCATAGACTCAACATTACCCATAGACTCAGCACTGCCCCATATACTCAACACTGCACCGTAGACTCAGCACTGCCCCATAGACTCAACACTGCCCATAGATTCAACACTGCACCAAGTGGTGGAGGGGGGGGGGAAGTCCCCGCGGCGTGCGCGTGGTGGGTTGGAGAGAGACGTGACGTCATGTCGAGCAGGGAATGGTGACGTCACGACCGAGTCGCCCGAGTCTGCGTGAGTCCGCGTCTTTGTGTCACTGTGGGAGAATCTTCACCCGTGTCTGTCTGTGTGTGTCTGTGTGTCAATCTGTGGCCATCTGTGTGTGTGTCTGTATCCGTCTGTGTCTGTGTGTCAATCTGTGGCCATCTGTGTCTGTATTCGTCTGTGTCTATGTGTCAATCTGTGGCCATCTGTGTATGTGTCTGTCTGTATCTCTATGTGTCTGTGTGTCAATCTGTGGCCATCTGTGTGTATCTGTCTGTATCCGTATGTGTCTGTGTGTCAATCAGAGGCCATCTGTGTGTGTGTCTGTATCCGTCTGTGTATGTGTCAATCTGTGGCCATCTGTGTGTGTGTGTCTGTATCCTTCTGTGTCTGTGTGTCAATCTGTGACCATCTGTGTGTCTGTATCCTGTCTGTGTCTGTGTCAATCTGTGGCCATCTGTGTCTGTATCTGTCTGTGTGTGTCAACCTTTGGCCATCTGTGTGTGTCTGTCTGTCTGTGTCTCTGGATGTGTGTCAATCTGTGTCCATCCGTGTATGTGTCTGCGTGTCTTAGACTGCGTCTATTTGTGTCTCTGGGGTGTGTGTCCGTCTGTGTGTGTCTTAGTTTGTGTCTATCTGTGTCTCTGAGGTGTGTCCATCTATGTGTGTGTTAGTCTGTGTCTATCTGTGTATCTGGGGTGTGTGTCCATCTGTGTGTGTGTCTGTGTCTATCTGTGTCTCTGGGGTTTGTGTCGAACCACCTCTGTATCCATCCGCCTGTCTCTGTCGGGTGGTGGAGGGTTACGACACATTGATAAATAACGCGATCTAACCCCAAAAACGTTGATTATGAATAATATTGGTCGCGAAAGCCTACGTGTTAAACTGTCTCTGTCTTCATTTGTCTTACAGTGTCCCTGTCTCAATCTGTATTCGTCAGTGTGTCAGTGTGTGTCTCTTGTGTGGGAGCAGTGGTGCAAGCGGTCAGCGCTACACTGCGCAACGAACCCGACGACACGAGTTCGATTCCCGCTCACGGTCAACACCAGTGATCGCGATTATCTGAACCGGTCATGGACCTCCTCCCCTAGGTCGACTCGGCCTCAAATGAGTAACCTGGTGCGGTGTGTAGTAAACATCACCACTGGGTAGAGAAAGGTGGCCGGGCGTGGTGTTGGCCACCCACCCCCTCGTGTGCCATGGTGCCAGCCTTCATAGGCCGCTACTTCCTAACAGCAACTTGCCTATACTCTTTGGTTCTTTTGGTAAAGTCATGTAGGTAGAAAAATAATAGATCACGACGTTTCGATCGCAACACAAGCAATCGTCATCAGGTGTGACAACCACAGCAAGAAAAAACTGCTGAAGTGGGCGAGAGATCTGCTGTGGCCCAAGGTTTTATAGGCCTCGGCAGTATGGGGGGAAGAGCAGAGGTCGCAACTGAGTACCCGATACCCGTACCCTACCCGATACCCGGCTACCCGTACCCAGCCGGGTACGGGTACCCTTTTGCGACCCTGGTGCGGCCGGGTATGGGTAGACCGTGAGTCACTGGTGAGTAACTGTTTGTCACTCATTTCCCAACGTCTAGTCTCTTCTAACAATTCAAGTTCCTAGAATCAACCCACCCACGCCTGCAACATGGCTTCATCCCAGAGGTCGCAATCAGGTACCCGATACCCGTACCCTACCCGTACCCGGCCGGTTACGGGTAGGGTACTACCGGGTACGGGTACCCGTTTGCGACCCTGGTGCGGCCGGGTACGGGTAAGGAATCAAAACCCGTTTGTGACCTCTGGCACCCGGGTCACTGCAGTAAAGTGAGAGATGCACAGAGAGAGAGAAAGACACACAGAGAATCGGAAATAACAGCTGACAGGTAGGATGGAAACATCACAGTCAGTTAAGACTTTACCTGGTTTATAACGTCCTTCCAATGATTGCTCAGTTTGTACCCATCCTCTAGGTTGAAGTTGTGTCCGTGTTTATTTATCTGGATGGCTTCATGAACAAATCTCTGATAATTGCCGGTGGGTTTGCAGAGTACCTTCGTCTTGGAAAAGTCAATTCCGTGCGAGCTCATTTAAAAGTGCATCATTGCTCCCAGTGGCTTCCTAATATCGGAAGGGAAAAGCATTCCAGACTGCCACAGAAGAAGCGGATCTCAAAGCGCCACGCGACAATGCGCCGCTGCTTTTGGTGCTACGAGGATGACGGAGAATTCACGTAACGACGGTTCATGCTCCTGGGCGAGATCATCAGCGAGGTGTAGCGGTTCACCCGTGAATGGATATTGTGCGGTGGCGCATCACGCAATTTTTTCGTTTAATGATTGTTGCCTTTCCCTTGCGTGCCCCAGTGCCGACGCGGAACGGAACGGAGCGAAGATGAAGATCTTCTGCCCGATCTGCAAGTGGCTCGTGGTCAGCCTGCCCGCCCTGGACGACCACATGAAGCGGCACAGGGGGTGGACGGAACCCGCTCTGTTCCGGTGCCCCCACTGCCTGTTCAACACGGACAAGCTGAACGTGTTCATCGGCCACCAGGCGACGCACGACGTGCGCGAGTCGCACAAGTGCGCCGAGTGCGGCAAAGTGTTCATCGACGCCGAGGTCTTCCGCGAGCACCAAGCGGCACACGCCGAGGAGAAGCCCTACAAGTGCACCGATTGCGAACTGGCGTTCAACCGCTCGGAGGATCTTCACGAGCACCAAAAGACGCACGCCGACGGCAAGCCCTACCACTGCACCGTCTGCGGCATGGACTTCACCCGGTCGGAGCAGCTCCGCAACCACCAGAGGATCCACACGGGCGAGAAGCCCTACAGGTGCGCCGAGTGCGACAAGATATTCGCCCGGTTTGACACCCTTGTTGCCCACCTGCGGGTCCACGAGGGTGGCAGGGCACGTCGGTGTGCCGTGTGCGGCAAGGAGTGTGCAGACTTCAGGGCCCTTCACGTTCACCAGAACGTCCACGGCCTGCCGTCACGGCCCCCGTCGAGCGGCGGACCGGAGGGTGCCTCGGTTCAGACGTTCGACGCTCCCGTTCCCTGTGGAAACGGAGGTGGCGAACCGAGAAGACGGCGGACGTCCGGAGGCGGCGGTGGCGACCGCTCCTTCTCCACCGGAGCGAGGCAGGTGAAGAGAAACGCCCCCACCACCGCCCCCACTACCACCTCCTCATCCTCCTTGCCGCCACGCGCGGTGGCTTTGAAACGCGGCCGGCGGCAGTGAAGGCGAAGGCGACGTTTCCACGTGATGATGGTGTCAGCCACCTGGTTGCGCTGCTATCATTTGTGATGGCCCAGGTCACTTCTGAAATAGAGCTTCTACATAGCTCAGTAGGGGCCTTACCTGGTAACAATAAAAAAAAAGTTTTTAAGCAATTTATTTACCTTTCCTATACTTTGCACTCCTATCGTTTTTTTTTACTTTGTCGTTGTAACTTTGTGACCCCCCGTGCCCCTACTGGACATCTGTGACAAAGAGCTTCATAGATCATAGGATTGCCCCTGGATAAGTTAAGATTCTAACTCCGAAGGTTTCTTCATTTCCCCTCTCGATTGTGAAGCGGGAAGACATAATAACGTTCAGGTCTGAACAGATTTACCTACGTACATTGAACTTCCCTTCGCACCATACGTAGCCGACCATTGCTAATCGGAGGTTCAGGGGACAGGGGAAGGACAACAAACTAAACACAAAAACAAGCAGCAGCTTCCAAACAAATGAGTTTGTCAATCTAGGCGATGACGCAGAGCTCACAGCGTCTTCCTAATATCGGAAAGAGAGCGTTTCAGACGGCCGCGGAAGCATATCGGAAAGTGTCACACGACGATGATGCGGTGACCGCTGCCTTTGATTCGACGGCTGAGCCCGAAGCCGCTGCTGCTGCCGCTGCCACCGCCGTCGCCGTCGCCGCCACTGCTGTTGTGAATATGATCACTGGAGTGTCACGTGGCGATGGTTTATAGCTCCTTGACGAGATCAGCAGCGAGGGTATCGCGGTTCAGTTGTGGCCACGCACTTTGTGTGACCATTGTAGAACCCTCTTCAATGGTTCCAAACACACACAAACACACATATATGCACCCTGTATACACACATATATACCCCGTGTACACACACACACATATATATACACCCAAAACAGCGACTTCTTTACTTACGATTGAGTTATGTTCCAGAGGTAAGTTGCTTTGTTAGTAAGTCCCAACTTGACTCCTGTCGATTCCAAACAAGTTGTACGGCGTGTACACTAAACACGGGGAATGGCTTTGAAAGTTGTGTACTCTCCTGTAGATGCCTGTTCTGCAGATGGAGATGTTACTGGTCCTTCATGTTCTGCAGATGTAGATGTCACTGGTCCTTCATGTTCTGCAGATGTAGATACAACTGGTTCTTCATGTTCTGCAGATGTAGATGGCGCTGGTCCTTCATGTTCTGCAGATGTAGATGACGCTGGTTCTTCAAGTTCAGCAGATGTAGATGCTGCTGGTTATTCAATTTCTGCAGATGTAGATGCCACTGGTTCTTCGTGTTCTGCAGATGCAGATGATACTGGTTCTTCAAGTTCTGCAGATTTAGATGCCGCTGGTTCTTCACATTCTGCAGATGCAGATCCCACTGGTTCATCATGTTCTGCAGATGTCGATGCCACTGATTTTTCGAGTTTTGCAGGTGTAGATGCCACTGGTGTCTTCACGTTCTGCAGATGTCGATGTCACTGGTTCTTCACGTTCTGCAGATGTAGATGCCACTAAATCGTCACGTTCTGCAGATGTAGATGCTGCTGGTTCTTCACGTTCTACAGATGTAGATGCCACCACCATCTATTGAGCGGGGCGGTTGAACTTACGACTCTCGGTCCGAACAGGCAACTGGACGCACCGTACCGGGTTTTTTCCAATCTCTGAAAGTTTGTAAGTCGAGTGTTAGTAGGTAGAGGAGTTCCTGTGCTGTATATATTTGAGTAACATTAACTTTAAACGAAAAGACTTGCAAACTGCACCGGCTTAGGGAGTTGGGGTAGGAGGCACCGGATTTTCAAAAACACCGGACAATCACTAAATCGTCATCATTGTTTTAAATAACTTATTTTTGCACATTCTTGCTTGACATGTTTGTAGGTGTTGTTTTTTTCGTGTTTTATATGAAGTTGGCATAAAGAAACAATACAAATAGACAAAAAGTTACCACATTTACTGCATTGTACTTACCACTCTAATCTTTAAGGCTCTGCATCATGGGGTGATATATAGATGTGCAGTATTTTCATTTTAACACGTTGACTTTCATGACCAATATCCATAATAGTTTTTTTGTTAGATTGCATAACTATAAATGTCGTTAAATCCGTCACCACCCGACACAGCCAATTAATAATAATTATTTGTATTTATTTGTAAGGCGCCTTTCTCTGTCTCAAGGCGCCTTGTAAGATTAAGGTTAAGGAAAGGCCAAGAGAGGATGAGAGCTACAAAGAATAAACGGACTTAATTTGTGGATTAAAAAAAAACGCGACTTAAAAGTATCCACATTGTCGGTTAAACGAATTTCCAATGGTAAGGAATTCCACGACCGAGGCGCAGACACAGCAAATGCCTGCTCACCGCAGGAACGCAGCCGGGATAGAGGTACGCACAGAAGGGCCGAGGGATTTAGGAACGAAACAGGAGGATTTCTCCACAAATATAGCTGTCGCCTGATGATGCTAGTTGTAATTACGTCGTAATCAGATTGTGAATGTGGATTTACTCTCCAACACACCCGTGTGCTGTACTAATGTAGAGAAAGTGCATGTGTGGAGACAGTACGTCTGTGGACACAGTGTGGTGCAAAGACAGTGCGTGGACTAGAGCTCACGAGCAGACATTACAGGGTTGATAAATAATAGAGCAAGTTGTCACAAGGGGGACTCAACAGGGAAGTACGGGAACGGGCCAGAGAGTTCTAGAAAGGATGAGTGGCCAGGGGCGGAGTTAAGGACACGTCGGGGATAAAAGGAGGCGAGTAGCAAGGTTCAAGGCTGCCGTGGGATCGGGGTCGTCGCTGTCTTCACGCCGAAGGGAAATAATATTAATTATCTCCGTGACTTTACCGAAAGTACCAAGAATATTAATTCCTTAATAATCAACGTTGTTGGGTTTAGATTGCGTTATTTATAAATGTGTCGTAACCCTCCACCACCCGACACGGTCAATCAGTAATAAAGTGTCACGTTGACAAAAGACAAATAGTTCACTTCTTTAGCCCACCGGTGTGTTGAAGCGTGAAACCACAACAACAACAACGTGAAACCACCACAACAACAACAACAAAATAATGTTGTTGTGGTTTCACTCTTCAACAACACAGCGGTGGGCTAAAGTAGTGAACTATTTCATCTTCTTGGTTCTTTCGGTAAAGTCGTCACGTAGAAGGGAGATAATAAAATAATAAAAATAAAACATAATAAAATACAATTCTCACAAAGGGAAATAATAAAATAATAAACATGAAAATTATAAAATACAATTCTCACAAAGGGAAATAATAAAATAAAAATATTAACACATTATAAAATAAAATTCTCGCAAAGGGAAATAATTAAATAATCAAATTCTAAAATACAATTCTCACGACGTTTCGGCCACAATGCAAGCAGCCGTCCTCAGGTGAAGAACAGGTCTGTCGGAAAGACAGCGACAGACCTGGTCTTCACCTGAGGACGGCTGCTTGCGTTGTGGCCGAAACGTCGTGAGAATTATTTTATTATGTTTTATTATTTTATTATTTCCCTTCTACGTGACTTTACCGAAAGAACCAAGAAGATGAATCCCTGCAGTCACGAAAGCTTTAAATCGAAATGTCTTCACGCCGCCGTTGTCTTCGTGTCATCGTTGTCTTCGCATCATCGCGATTTACGCGTCATCCCTGGCCCAAGTTATCTGCGTCAAGCGCCCTAATCAAAATAAAGAAAGCCCTCTACAGTTTGTATCGTCCAAGAGTCATTACACTAGTAACGAATTGGCATATTCTGTTTACTTGACAAACCTTACTAATTGGCTGTGTTGGGTGGTGGCGGGTTTAACAACACATTTATGTATATTTTTAATATTTACGCCATATAACCCATACAAACCTCAATTAAGGATAGTATTTTTTTTATTAAGTTGTATGTATGTATTGCTCCTGCACTGTTTATTTTGTGTGCCACAGTGCCGCCATTATCTTTGTGTTTGTTTTGTAGGCATTTTTTCTTGTAAACAGAATGACCACCAAATCTTTAACGCGGGAGAACCTCCCTTCGTCGCTAACCAACTGTGTTTGCGTTGCTAGGAGGAACCGGCGTTCCACGCATGCGCAGATGCGTGCTATGGCACGCGGCTCAGTAATCATGATCCCTCGCCACTTCGCGGTTCAAGTTTCGCGGCCTCAGTGCATCGCGGATTTTTCAAAAAAATTCAAAAATACCGCCATATCGGCAGCCGTATTGCGGAAAGCAGCGTTGTTTCATCGTGATGCGCGAGAGAAACGGTTTCCCAGGATGCCAGACAAAGAGAGAAATTCTCTCAGAGGCTTTGTACATACTGTACCCACGGGCACTCAGACAAGGCACGTGATTGGTTCCCGGCGCGAGATCGACGAATGAGAGCACGAGTGGATGTACAGTATCCCGTGAGCTGATTGGCTGCGCATCATAATACGTATCGTATGAGAGAGAGAGAGTGAATGTATAATATTAAGGTTTTATAATTAAATAGATTTAAGTAAAATATATATATAAAGTATAAATATACATATTTTAAACATTCTGGTACCCACACACACATATACGGAAATTTCTAGGGGGGCCAATCCTACTTCGCGGATTTTCACCTATCGCGAGGGGTTCCGGTCCCATTAACCGCGATAAACAAGGAATCACTGTATTGTACAAAGTGTGATTTCCTTAATTTAGATTAGACTAACCTTCTTTGCCAGTAGCAAAATATGATAATCGGGTGTGGACCAATCAATTTCAAGGACAGTGCATACATGATCAGATTTGTGTTTTTTTTTGCATTCCGACCACAGGTATTGTGGTCAATGTAAACATGACTCCTTGTAAAAAAGGTGTCAGTTTTATTGCCAGATAAAAGGGTAAAAAAACAATT